TCTCCAAACTCGCGGCTGGCCTCACGCTACTTACATCGATCGGATGAGCAAAATTGAATGAATCTTCCGCTAGAACATGGAAATATACACTGCCTGCCAGTGCCTGGTTGAATCTGCCCGACACCTGCCGGACAACACTTTCTGCATCGACAGCGCGGCGCGCAGCGTAAACTGACCCCGTTTATAAAGCCGCGCCAGGACCAACTGTACCAAGTGCCCCCGAAAAAAAAGTGTACGAATGCGCCGGCTCACCTGCCCAAAAAAAAAAAAAAAAGTACGAAACGGGGCACTACGTCTATCCCATCCAACCGGCGTGCGGGCCTCATTTTCCCTGGGCCCAGGGGAAGTGTCTTACCGGGCCCTATACTTCCTTTAATAGTTCTATAGAATAGAAAAAAGAAGAATTCACTTTGCAGCTGAGGATATCTTGTGGGTTTCTTCAAAGAGGTTGGGGGCGGGCTTTGGAAAAGCTTGAAAACGAGGATCCGTGTGAGACACACCTGTGTAGGCTGCAAATAGCTCTGAGTGCATCGTAAGTCAAAACCAACCCCCATCTACCTATCGCTCAATGCTATTCACATCTAGTTGTTAACAAACAGGGCATGTGTTCAAGTCCTTATTTAATCCAGTGGCAGAAAAAGCAATCCCATTCGAGTCCTTATTTAATCCACTGGCAGAAAAAGCAATCCCAATCACATGACGTACAGGTACTGATGTGTTGTGTCGTAAATGGGCGAGCCTTTCACAAAATTTTGTGATCTGATCTGATCAGAAGCTTTGGCATGTGTATTTTTCAGATGCATGTGTTTGATGACAATGATGAAGATCTTGAAGATGCTGGTCTCCTTGGCAGCACTGCAATTCCTCTCAAGCACCTGGTGAACGGACAGGCAATCTATGGCACTTATCAGCTTACCGGTTGCAGAGGACAGGTGAGATAGATAGTGTTGCATACTTCAATGAGTATGGGCAGAACCAAAGATCAACCAATACAGGATGAGCATGTATGCAGCGGAAGTCTGATAAACGAACTGACTCACATAGACTGACTCACATAGCATCACTCCACACACATACAATCGTGAGATGGTGGGGTCTGAGCCATACAAAGAAGGTGCTCAGCCCCGTACACAACATACACAGATGAATGGGGGAGGAGAGACGAAGGAGGTGGGGCAGGTAGACAGCACTGAAGGTCACCGAGATAGAATCTGATAGGTCACCGATATGGTGGTCCAAAATGTCATCCAACAAGATCAAAATGTCGAGGACAATAGGTCACCAATGTCG